AAGCGACTGCAGGCAGGGCCGCTGAGGTGGGCGGCCACAAAACGGCACGAAATGCTCGGCAGTTGAAGCCTTTGCCCGCGCTGTGTGAACGCGTAAAAGCCGAGGAGTGAAATACATCCCAAAATGTATTTCGAAAGGACTTTTAAAACGCCGCCCCGAAGAGGAGGTATGAAAGCGAACAGAGAGTTAAAACGTCGTCTCCAGAACTGTTGGCGTTACTTCGTCAAGAGAAATACAAATCGGAGGAAGCGTCTTTTATAAATCATCTTTGACTCGGTAGTGGCCTTTTGCATCATACGTGATAACTGCTAAATGCCTGCAGCACATCTTAACTTACAAATAAAAGCAGTTTAAAAAGTATGGACCTGCAGCACGGTACGGGAGTCACCACGCACAATATAGCCATCTTTTTTTTTTTTTTTTTCTGTCTCTCCTTTCAGACTGCTGGCTCAGGCACAACCGCATGGCGCAACGTCTGGGCTTTCCCACACTGCGCTCCACCCAGCCGCAGTTCTCCCAAGAGACCTATGTTTGATATTGAGATTCCGGGGACAAATATGTTTTTCACATGAACGGCCTGACTTCCTGTCCTTCAGCACTTAAATATGAAGCAGCAACAAAGTCATTTAATCAGAGGTTTCCTCTGACACATTAGCTTCATCCGAAAGCCTGTGGACTAGTCATGTACATGCAAATTGATTTAGTTAACCGTGTGGAGTCCGCTCTTTCTTGTTATTCATTAGCTTGATTTTGTTCACATTTAGGAATTGACTTAAAAATCAAATTGATATTAGTATTTCAGATACAAGCAAAATTCCCATGAGGTTTCAGGCAGGTTCAGTGCTTTGTACAGTTCACAAAGCTCTGTCAACTTCCCAGTTTCGGGTCATTCCATTTCTACTTTTTTACTTATTTTTAAGACAGCCTGGATTTCTTCTCGGAGATATAGAGGCATTAGAAGAAGTACAATAACGCACAATAATTTGGCCATCTTAAAATTTTTAATTATAGTGGAAATATTGTTATGAGATAGCACTTAATTTAAAAATATTTTTAATGTAAGATCATGCTGAGAGTCAGTCTGAGTTGCCACAGATGTAGTCTGAGAGCAGGGTATGATTCTACACGTAGGGGGAACAATCATCTAGCCAAAACCCATACCGATAGCCTTCCTGATGATTTTTCAGCTTTTCCTCTCACTTGCCCTGACAAGGTGTTATAGCACATGAACTCCCAGTGGCAGGAGGTGGAAGGAAGGATGGCACAGTGCTGCAGACAGGCCAGAAAATAAGTTTATGCCTTCAAGGAGGAAGGATTCCACCTAGTGAGGAACCAAGTATTACCAACACAAACTGCAATAGCCAGCGGACTGAGCAGGAGAGCTAAGATCAGCCTGCAAAGAGGAGTTGCAATAAGGTACTTTCAAGGATGGGTTTTGTCTAGCGAAAAGCACGTACACGTTTCTTCCACAGAGCTTGCACATTTAGTGCTTTGTGACAATCTCCAAATCTTCAAACTATTACAAAGGGTGAAGTTCTGGGAAAGAAAATGCATCCTGTACTACAGTGCTTAGGTTCAGTAAGCCACTTTGGAAGGCTTGTCCTTGGATAGAGCGCACCAGA